TCTCAGTGGCTCTGCAAGGTTCTCTCTGCAATTTTCTATTTTCAGCAGATTTGCACTGAGCGGAACTGCCTGAGATTTAAATATTCAGTGTATTCTCCACATATCAAGTGCTAAGCATTACAGAAAATTAGACCTAAAAGAAGCCAACCCTTTAATTAGCAGGTTCAGTAATTAAATTATAAGGCATCTCCAGCTTTTATAGACTTTGCTAATATATACCTTTTGATTTCTGGCTCCTGGCTCTTTTCAAAATCATTCAAATTAGCCTGTTTTTAAAAATGCATCACATCTAAAGCCGAAGAATTTACATTTCATAAAATCTACAGCATAGAAATACTTTATATGTGAAAAGTTCAGAGACCACAAAAGCTCCTTGGGTCCCACCTCTGGAAAAGTGCATTTTGCAGAAAGCTGGAGGAGGTAGAAAAAAAGTGTTGTTTCTTGTGTCCTGTGTTCCTGCAGACACCGCTGGCATCCTACGTGCATGCCGAGAGTACTTGCTGCACTATCGACCACAACCATTAGCAACTACATCTGCAGAAGGGAGAAAGGAAGAGCTCCCAAGAGGGCATTCCTTGGGCTGTAACAGCTTGCAACTTGTGCAGATGCAGGACATGCTCTGGAGGCTGAGAACTCGTGCTGCTGGGGAACTGAGGCCAGAAAAACGCTGTGCAGTTGATGCAGGCTCTCCTTCTTCCTCTCCACTGTTTCATAAGGTCAGGAAAGTTTTTGGCATCTCAGTACCAATTCAGTTCGAAGAGGGATGTACTCGTGAATGTTCCCAGCAGTGTCATGGCCTCCAGGAGTCATCCAGCAAAGAGGCAAGGGAAAAGGTATTCCAAGAAATTGAACCAATGCAGGAAGGTGATAGAACTTCTACTGGCTCAGAGCCATATTTTCATAACATAACTTGAACTCTGTCAACATTGCTGTAATGCCATGATCCAGCCCAAAGGCTTGAAGGTGCTTAAGGTCAAAACAGGCACTAAGAAGTACTTTTCTGTGCCTGTACTTAGAGGATAAATAGGTAGAGACAATTTTCCAGTGTCTAAAGGGGACAAGATTTCATTCGCGGTTAGCCTATATGAGAACTGCAGCTTTCTAGCTAGTGTAGGCATGGCTCTGGGTGGAAAGGCTTAACTGCCATGCAACATATTACCTCAGCCTCCCAAAGCACATCAACCATGTGCCCCTCGATCAGAGCCCTGAGCCTCACATCATGCTACAGAAAAAGAGCTCTATTCCTCATCAGGACAGTTTTGTGCATGAAAATTACTTTTTTAATTACTAACGAGCTAGATTTCGCTCCTGATAAACATCAAATCTGTCCATTTGGTCATACATTAAATGAATATAGTGGTTACAGTACAGATGGACGAAGCTCAATATTGCTGTGATTTAGCAAAATTTGTAAAAACTGGATTTGGTACTCTGTTCTTTCAGAAGCAACTCCACAGAGACTGCTTTGGTTCTCCTTCCAACCATTGTGATTCTTGCCTCAATCTTTCTAGGTGAACATCAGCAACAGGGTCTAAACTCCCACCTGAACAGATCAGGAATAACTTCTCAGGGACGCAGCACCATCATTTCCAGATGGCCCAGAGTGCTAAAGGGCAAACTTACCATCGTTGCAATTAGTGAAGCTGGCAGTACCATGCCTCTCCTGGCAATGAACTCGGCTGTGGGTGCACAGTTACAACAGCCACAGGCTGTTTTCCACTCCACAAGCCTATTTTTTTCCATCAGTGATATCTGGCAACAGGGCTTACCCTTCAAACTACAGAGCTTACAAGTTTTCCAGCTCTTCGCTAAAACTATTTCAGACTCTGCAAGCTGAAAGTACTGCAATATTAAAAGTAGACTTCCTTTGTAGCAACTGACAGCTTTTACCTGTCATGAAAGACAACTAGCAACAAGTGCTTCCTGCATCTCTGGGAAGAAGGTTATAAAACGAAAAATAAAATCACATAATCCTTGCATATGTAAGGAATCCAATCTACCTTATCAACAGTGTTGAGATCACAGCCTGCCTTCAGCAGCACTTCCACCAGCTCCACATTGCCAAGATCAGCTGCCAGATGTAGAGCGGTTTCCTGCCTCTGGAAGTAATGACACCAAATAAATATAGTAAGCAGAGTGCTCGCAATCTGAGTCTCAAGAAATTCACAAGAGAGCCTTGGTGAGAAAAACACTGAACAGAATAAAAGAGTTTAACTTTTGAGTGATCTACCTGGTAGGTTTTTTTCAGGCAAACAAGAGAACATCTGGGATCTCCACAGGAAAAGCAGGCAGGAGTTCCAGCTAGCTCAGGAAGAACTTGCTGTAATGCCCCTCTAATGTACTGTAACCTAATGAGCTCTCTTTCTTCCCTCTTAAAACAAGGTGTTTTGGACAGAGAACTTCATGTAACTGCCAACCTCCACCCATACTATGCTCCTGAGTAACTTTTTTACAGCTGAAATTAACTCAAAGACAAGTGAACGCCCATAACTGTCAAGAGTACATTGTGCCACATCCGTAACAGGGTTTGTTAGCTAGCCCTGACGCAAAATGCAAAATGTACAAAATTGCGAAATGCAAAATGTGATACAAAATGTAGAAGTCTACCTGCACCACAATGGTAACCTTAAACCACACACACAGAAATAGAAGCAGGGGGGAGGGGGAAACATCAAAACCCTCAAAACTGTTAACAAGTACAGCTAAAAATGCATTCAGCACCAAGTTTAATGCTTGAGTCTGAAGTGAGGGTAGTGTACTCTCTACACAGTTTGCATGCACCTAAATAAAACTTATTTATCCTTCTACAGAATATTCTACAGCATCCTTTTTAAGTTGAAGGTTTTGTTCCTGTGCTTCTCTGTAGGTCTGGCTACAGAACTTTTTTGGCCTTTAGATCTTAACTTAAAGGTTGCAGAGTCAAACATCAAGATGTTACAGAACAAGAAACACCAGCATCAGAGTTTCATACTAATCTCATCAGTTCTTTTGAGAATACACACTGTAATCACGACTTCATAGATTTCCCCCAACAATACAGCCTACTTTCTTCTTTGCAGCAAGTTAGATATATGTATGTAGCTATTGTATGGAACTTCAGACATACTACAGATAAAGAACAAAACACTTCTAGAAGATGTGTTCAAGAAGTTTACAAAGTTTTCTGTTGTATGCAAAAACGAGCTTATCACCATACTTGACTCCAGCATTAAAGGACAACTTCCTTCTCCTGCAAAATAGTGTGTAAATTAGTCTTTAGCAATTAAAAAAAAAAAAAGGTCAATGGGAATGGGCAAAATACAGATTTCTCAAACAGCCCTTGTTGCTATTGTGGGGATCATTCCCACCTGTCAGATGGGAGGCTAGAGTGTGTATCCCCCACAGGGAACCACAATGCCCGATGTCGGACTCGACAGACGTGGTGGGACAGTTTTTCCACAGCTGAGACATAAGGTCAATGGGGAGGGCAAAGAGATTCTCTCTGAAGCACCACAGATGACAGGCTGGTCTATACACAGCTGTTGCCTCAATGTCTGCCCAGTCCACTATAGCCAGGGTGCCAGTGTACATCCTCCATGGGCTCTGTGCAAATTTCTGCCACACAGACTAGATGTCATCCAGATCTCTGGAGGCCTGATTGTTGGTCAGGTTGCTGTAGACCACCTCCACCACGATTAACTCACTCTGATAGTGGATACCTTCTTCTGTGGTAGTCTGCTTGCCTTGCTGGTTTATAGTATCTTCTTTGAGGAGATACCTTGCCTTCACGCTTGATAAAAGCCACCTCCAGAGACTTGCAAGTGGCTGCCTCTCTTCCAATCCTTTTGTCAGCCCCATAACACCTAGAGATGGATCCCAGCTGCTGAGCTTCTCTACCTTCCCAGCACTGGAGCAACCAGGTGTCAATGCACTCCCCTTGCTGATGGATGAATACTTGCTGCCTATCTCATAGGTTACTCAAGGATGGGGACCAGGGAGTTTCCTCCACTTCTGTCATTTCTGTCCTTCACCTCTCCCACCCTGCTGCAGACCAGGCTATCTCTTCTGACACTTTCTCCTTCCACTCCTCATCAGAAGCTGCTACTTTTCTCACTAATGAACTCAACATCTACTTCCACCATTTCTTTTTGAGTACAGGAGCAAATACTGTATCTGAGGGTTGGGTCTGTGGTTAAGCTGCTGTATGTGCCCTCAGATTGAGTGTCCATATCAGTGGCTTCAGAGCAGGAGACCTTCTCCACACCCCTTCATGTGCTCCTTGATCAGGAGACTCTTTCCTCTTTTGAGGGCACTAAATGGCAGTGCAGTAGGCACAGGCCAGGCCCCAGCACAGCATGAGAAGTCGCTGTGTTTCATCAGGGCAGGCAAGGCTCCTCTCTTTCAAATGTTCTACCAATTACATGGGACTACATGCCTATTCAGGTGTGACAATCCAAGCTCTTGGAGGCAATAACATCCCCAGGCACCTGCCCGACTCCTCCCACACACTCTGCCACCCGGGGATCAACCACCTCCAGGCATATTCCTGTGTGACATTCCCAATTAGTTGCTTAACCTTATGAACAATAACAAAAATCTGTCTCCCAACACACAAGAGTATGAACAGCCTGATTACACAAAGGTATTCAAGGAATTGTGTAGCTGTTACAAGAAAGTGGGAGACGCCTGTGTTGCATGAGTAGGTGCCATTCATTCATCTCTTCATCAGGGGGAACTGCTGATTTTCCCCGTGAAGTAGTTCCTTGAGTACCTGGATAGCAGCAGTGTAGGGCCCAAATATAACCAGCTTGGGCATGGCTCTCCCAGGCAAGGCAAACCAAAGTGATAACACAGCAAAAGCTGAAGATGGACATTAACAATTACTGGAGATTTTATACAGCAAAAATAAAGGATCGAGCAAGGCAGCACCAAAGAATCCATCAGCCCTATCCTGTGCCTTCCACAAGAGGAGGATATCCAGTACCTAAAGTGCTTAGTGGTGATGGAGGTGCTCTACAGACAACAATGACCAGGCCTCCAAAGACCCCCAGCACCAAGCAGACACCAAACAATCCTGCTAAAAGTGGGGAAAACAGATGCCAGCTTCCCTTGGTGCATTTGAACTACCAACTTGAGTTTAACAGCCAAACACACTAACCAGTCTCTCCACAGAAAGCTGTAACCTCAACATCTGGTGTGATATTAGGTGGTATAGAACATCGCTTTGGTCAGCTCTGGTCATCTCTTTGGTCGTGTCTCCCTGCACATCTCATCTGTTTACGAGGGGTAGAGAGGATAAAAGGAAGGCCTTTCTACGGCCGTTCAGCAACAACTAAAACACTGGTGCTTTATCAGCACTGTTGCGGCCACAGACCTAAAACACACCACCCTATGAGTCACTATGAAAAAGATTACCTCCATGCCAGCAAGGTGACACACTGCACTGGGTCTCCCTCTGAGATCAACACCGTTGAGACATTTCTGTCATTTATTACACATGAATTGTAGCAGTCGAGCAATAAATCAATTCAAATATTTTCTGAGTGTGTAGTAGTTTGCTACCCTTACCTTGCACAAACAATACCAGCACAGCCTGTTCCAGTGACTAACACATATTTGTGCACACAAAAAGATAAGGAGAGAACTGCCTTTTCCTTCCTATTTTTCTGTACCCTGAGCCCAAAATAAAAAAAAAAGATTTCAAGCAAAATCCACATAATCTTGTCTTTACCAGCAAAGTTATTTCCCAGGTTTCTTACGTGATTTAAGGAGTTTATATCATGATTGGCATCCAAAAGGCTTTTTACTACTGGTAGATGATTATTAATGACTGCTAAATGAAGAGGGGAATTCTTCTGCTGTGGAGGGAAAATAACAAACTATTATACTTGGGTACATTGTTAGTTCATTCAAATAAGAAAGAGGTTCTTGTTAAAATCTGCCCCTTGCAAAGGCAATATGTTCCACCAGTGGTTGAAAGCTGCAGAAAACACACCCTGAGGTGCAGTGCTATACCAGAGGCAGTAGCCTGGTCCTGCAGTACCAGCAGCAGTAAGTAAAAACATACATCTGAGAAGCCTGAAAATGTTAAGTGCGCGGAGTGCGTATCAGTGTGTCACCACGTGGAAAGACATTTCTCTTATGTGTTCATACCTAGGATGTGCTGCTACCCTTGGCTGACAAAAGAGAGCTTAGGGTAATGTTTCTGTTTCCTCAGACAATTGGATTTGCCTTTAGTTGAATAGGCTGGAGACAGATTAATTCTGCATTGGGTAAATAGATGTCAAAATCTACTTTCCAGGAATAAACTCCAGTCACATATTGCTGCTGGAAATATTCTTCATACTAAACTGACTTGCTGACATACTTACAAAAAAACCCCAGACTACAGCTAGAAAGAAATTAAGGGGTTTTATTTGAGTGATTATTTATTAAAAGAACCAGGGCACAGATTCAATACTAGTAACAGTCCGACTATTAGACTGCCAAGATCACTTTGTACATTGCATCTGTGACTCATCAGTTCCCTGCTGAATAAAGATGAAGAATAATTCCGTACCACTGCCATTTATGGGTGGCAGACACCCGTTCATTAGTGTCTGTATAAAGCACAGCCATTTCTTCAGGGCTACAGAGAAATGAAGCAAGTTCTTATGCAATGCTGCACTGGAAATGTTTCCAAAACTCAAGTTACATTTTTATGAGTTTCTTCTGCTACAGAAAGCCAATGAAAAAAACCAGCACAATAACTGCCTGATCTTTAAAATAAAGAATTTCAAGACTATGATAAATTGTTCTTCCTTGATAAGATTAAACAACAGGCTGGTGATTGTGGCAGATAAGTCAGGAAACCCAGATTCTATTTTCATCCTGTACTGTAGAAGTGGAAAATAACCTCCTAAAAAAACCCCTCAGATGTAACAAAACATGTGATCTCTAAACTGGAACAAGATTTTAGTGTTAGGAAAGCAGAAATGTGTGGTCTTTGACCTAACACTGCCACCACTAAATTGCACTGCACTAGTCTGCCCACGCACTCACTGGATTTGTGCAACAGAACCTTGTCTTTCTTGGTCCACAAACAGTGCTAACCAACATCCATAAACCACAAAATAATGTCTATAGTAAAAAAAAAAATAAATAAAGAACTCATCAATCTCATTTAGCTGCCTGAATTCCAAAGGAAGGCCATAAAACACAGAACAGGATGAATAACAGCCCAACAGTTATACTGATATACACTTACCTTAGGTTTAGGAACCAGATCAATATTCTTATCTATAAGAAAAGTAACCAAGGATAGATGCCCATTCTGAATTGCAATCTGCAAAGCACTGCTACTGTTCTGAAAGAAATGGTATAAACAGCAAAAAATTACAGGTTTCTTGCTGGAAAACAGTACTAAAGAGAGCTATCAATATAGGATAATATTTCTTTCAAATTTCTGTGGCTATCCTCTCCCTCAAAAAAATCTCCCTTTGATAAAATCATGTGGGTCAGCAGTTAGCATGACCTGGTTTGGTAAATACTGAAGGAACTTCCCATTTTTACAATATCCCAACAAACATGCTAAAGATATCAGTATTTTATAGTCCTTTTCATTCTCTCTTAAGAAAGAGATAAATCAGCATCGTTAGCTATCCTTGCTCCACAGACAATGACAATGTCACCATGTCTTCTAGTCTGTTAGTTCAGTCTGACATTTAACAACAAAGTGCAGTCACATTAACAAAGTTTTTAAAATAAATCAATAGAATTTTTTTCATTTAATAATTCTGCTAAAACAAACAAGCCCTCAGTCTGTTACAATCATTTCTAAACAGTCTAGCCAAGGATGTGAGCTGGACTGGATCCAGGAACCAGATGTGGAGAACAGGTTTGTCATCAGTTCAGTCATAAATACAGCCAAAAAGGAGGCTTTTCTATTGCCCTAGCTGGTTACATTTCCCAGTCATATGGTTTACTATTGGACATACAGTAAATAAAAAACCTCCACTGCAGAACTCTGTCAAATAGATCTATACTATATTTCTCCCACATCAGTTTTATCCTGTTAGCACTGTCTACATTCCCAGTTCTATTTTATAACAAATTTAAATTTTTAACATTTCATTAAAAGAAATAGAGCAAATATACTGTTTATACATGCAGAAGGAAGAAGATAAGGTCCTTGTCACAGCCCAGGTTGTCCCAGTACCGTGTGCTGGAGGGATACTGTGTACATACTTGAGTTAAAACATTAATGTCACTTCCTGCTTCCAATAAGAGTTTGGCACATTTTTCATGACCTTCTTCAACAGACAAGTAAAACGGAGTTTCTCCATTCTAGACCAACAGAGAGAAAACACATGCTTCATTTTAAACCATGTGACTGTAAGGCTGTGACACAAATCAGGTTAGCTCCATCAGACTCATCGAGCTTAGCAGAAAAGGGGACAAATACATGGTAAGGTTTATGATATAAATAAATATTAATTGTGCTTTTTCCAAAGCAGATTGCCAGGAACAGGCATAGAAATGAAGATGGTGAATGGCAATTATTGTCATTCAACACCAGGCAACACTGCTAGCATGCCACCACATACCTTAAGTACCAGTTTCTGTCAGTCCCAACTCAACTGCTAGTTACAAGGAGCACTTTAAGCAGAAATAATCCCGTGGCATATTTATTTCAGATCTTCTCACCCCCTAAAATTCTCCATCTCTCCAAAGCAAGCCTCTAAAACAAGTTACCTCAGCTGCATAATGATCTAATCACTGTTTCTCAACTCCTAAAATACATGGAGGTTTACCAAAAGTTACTCTTTCAGCATTTGCAGAAGCATCAGTAAACCCTGTGGGTTTTATTGCTTAAGCTCCTGTCACTAGTATTCTAGTAAACTTGATGTATTTTAGTGCTTCACTCATGCTGAGGAAAGCGAAGCCTGTTTATCCACAGACCAGAACATCTCCAGCTGGACAGGGCGGTCACACCATTAGCCATGGCACGGCAGGAGCACAAGCAGAACAAGCTTCTGGTGTGGAAGCAACAATGTGAGACAAGGTTTGGAAACACAAGGGCTTCGTGTTTCAGAAGGGCTTGTGTACCTCAGAGCTTGCATAGCTGGAAATAACAGACAAGCTGGGGAAGAGAGAACCCCTCAGCCCATAAATCTGTTGCTACAGAAGAAGAAGGCTTTGGGTGCGACTGGGTGTCCTTTATTCATTTTGCCCATTGGGCCAGCAGAACAGACCATCAACCACACAACCGGTTCCTGCTGTGGGCATGCCAGCCCACAGTGCATTAACTTGCCTAGGTCATTTCAGCTGTCCCAAAGAAGAAGCAGAAGACACAAGGACCCTTTGCAAAGCTGGAATGCTGAATTGAGTAGGTAGTGTGCATTTCCCTCTTCCACACCTACTCTAAGCCTTAAAATTCAGCTCATAAGTGCACAAACTCAAGGACACAACCTTCGCAGCTAATACACATTTTATTAATATGCTTACTGAGCTCACCAACACTAGCCTAGGAAATAAAAAGTAGGTGGGCAGTGTCTGCAGCCAATTCTGTGCTGTCAATTGAAATCAGATGAAAAAGGTACAAATCTGAAACCTCTTCTGAGGTGCCTGTGATGACATGTGCTGTATATGCATGTTGAAGTGGCTCGATGGATAGCCTGAAAAGCTCCAGAAATGGTAAAAGGAATGAGATCGTGGCCAGAAATGTTGGAGCACAGGAATTCAGGTAAAGTTTAGGCCTCTCTCTGTTTCCTTCTACCATGTGAGATGGAGGGGAGGCACAGAGGTCAGAGTAAGATACCTTGAAGGTGTTGATGGAGTTAGATTTATCGGAGAGACAACAAAACAGGATGCAAAGGTACCAGAACAGCAGAAGAACTGATGAAGTCTAGTCAGTGTAACATTTATTCCTTTAAAATGTTATTTTTGAGTTGATTTTTCAAATCTCTAACCTCAGTCCTTACCTGGTTGACATCATTTACTTCCTCCCACTGTTCAAGAAGAATTGCTACAGCTTCGCTGTGACCATTTTTGGCTGCTAGATGCAATGCTGTGTTTCCTTCCTTGAAATCAAAATGTTGAATAAAAACTTTAAAACACAGGATAAAGTCAGAACATCAAGTAAAACCAACACAAAGCTTTTGGTCTTTTATATACATCTCTAGTTTACATACAAAGAGAAAGAGGCAGATCTACATATGTTGCAAGATGAAGACTGATCCAAACGGGGTCTTTTCACACGTATGCAGATGGGACTCTGCTGATCTATCTGGTTGTCTCACCTTCTGAAAAACCGCATTATACGACCAGTGAAAAGACCTAACATTTTAACTCTTAAAGAATGAATCAGACGAAAACTAAGGGTACTGGTGCCTATGAAGATGGGGACTACAATAAGCCCTCAGGATCACTGATTTAAAGGTTAACGCCCAAAACTTAGGTTGGTACACCTAAGCACAATTGGTACACCTTCAGCCCAATTCCTCTCTAGCTAATTAAGGGGAGAAAAAACCTACACACCAGTGAACAAATAAATACAAAGAACAAGTTCAGGAAGAGCAGCAGGTTTGAGCTAAAAGACAATGCTGGCACAGGAAAAAGTATAAAACTGTCTATAAACAAACTGAAGCTGGAACTTAGGAGAAGAATCCTAACCCTCGGAGAAACAAGAGTCCAGAACAGCTTTTCATTCACAGCACTCTGGTAGAGGGAAGCAGAATTCAAATCCTTTTTACAAATGATGGATACAGTGTGATTGCTTTTAGTGACCCAGGAGATGAGTTTCTGTCCTGGCTTCGTACCTACTATCGCAGCATTTTTATCCCATTGTTGCTGTTTACACGCTCAGCCTGCTGGATGTGTGTGACAACCCTGTCTTTCAACCTCTGCTGATAAACTGCTTAGCACAGCAGAGCTCTGGGTTGCGCTGCAGCTTTTAAACTATTACCAGAACACACACAAGAAAAACCATAACTTCTTGAGTGCTTATTTACAAGGTTCTATAAATGCAGTGTCTGACCGTTTTACAATTTTTAATGAAGTTATCTCTACCATTTCATAATGTTTAGTGAATTTATCCTTACAATGCTTAAGATGCAGGGAAATAATCAACTTGCTCATTCCATAAATAATCAAATAAGGAGTGAGGAAACTTAAGGGCAGACTTTGAAAGTTATTTAGATACCTTAAACCTCAAAAGCAAACTCAACTAGATTGATGTGTTAAGGCACTTGTGAAAAATCCTTATAGGTGTTTATCTGTTTCCTGAAGTATTTAAACATGTTTGAAAAATTAGTCATGCAGGACTTAGCAGTGATGGACAGACACAGCTGAGCAGAGTGAAGAACTGAGAAATATGACCTCCCAGTACAGAGGCTGACACTGTAATCACCCAACTTTGCCACTTCTCCCAAAAGACATCATATTCTAGTCTTGCTTTACATGAATTATTAATGTGTCTGGAAACACCTTCTGGCAACAAGACCAGAAGTCCCACTGTCTTCCCTTGTCCTGGGTTTAGCTAAAACCCAGT